GAAGTTTGGTCGAGCACGAATTAAGAATCAAGGAGGGGTTCAAGCCTTTCCAATAGCCGCCAAAGCGTTTCTCGACCGAGGTACAGCTTAGGGTCAAGGAGGAGATTGAACGGCTCCTTAAAGCCGGCTTCATACGAACGGCCCGGTACGTTGAATGGCTGGCCAACATTGTACCAGTTTTGAAGAGGTTTGGGGCTTTGAGGGTTTGCACCGATTACCGAAATATGAACCTCGCGACCCCCAAAGACGAATATCCCATGCCTATGTCAGATCTCCTGGTGGACGGAGCCGCAAAGCACGAACTCCTATCTTTCATGGACGGCCATGCGGGTTACAACCAGATTTTTGTGGCCGAGGAAGATGTTCACAAAATGGCGTTTAGATGTCCAGGAGCAATCGGAACCTATGAGTGGGTGGTCATGCCTTCTTTCTTGAACGATCAAATGTATGTTTCTCGCATTATGTTGACCGCACCGTTTGTTTTAACTCGTTCGCCTACTTCCCCCTCTTTTTCTTTTTGACTTTTTTGTCGTAGGCCCTTGGTGCCATTTTTTCTTGAACTTGCACCGAGCTGTAAGCGTCGAGTCTCGCCTGTCCTAAATTTTCTGAACTCCGGGGCATGGTTTTTGCGTAGTCCTTCCCCTCTTGGCTAAGTTGCTTGATAACTTGGAGAAATCGAACCTTTAACTCCATTAGTTTACCAGTGTCATGGCCGTAGGTTAAGACATAAGGAGATGTGCCCTTGGCCGAATGTTTCGAAGTGCGGCGCGCCCAAAAAACCTCAGGGAGCGAGTCGTGCCAAGCCTTAGGTTTTCTGGATAGACACAGCTTTGCGTAACCTGGTTCCCCCGGCTGCCCCTAAGCTAAACCGTCTTTCATCACACACCGGATATCTTTGAATTGAAACCCTTGAAAAGGCCTATCCTGTTGTGCATCGTTTCGGGCTTTACCTGCTGGGTCGTTCGAGCAAAGGGCTCGGCCGCTGCGACCGAGCCGGGTGGTATTAGAGGAACTTCGTGGGCTTGATCGAGGTACGTTTGGTCCGCCGGCCATCGAGGTATGGCCACCTGGTTTTGTTGGATTGCATCATAATGGGAACCTAGGTGCGTCTGCGTTGTCGTCGGAATGGACGGATCGTGTATTTGTACTGGTAGTGCAGCGGCCAAGCCATTCTGATCGTGTTGCTGTGATGACGCTTCTGTCGCGTTGCTCTGGCCGGGCTGCGCCTGGTCGGCCAAAGTATGGGTTGGGCCGAATTGCTGGACTGTAGACGACACAGGGTTGCCCTGCCCTAATGCTTTGGCCAAAACGTGGAGTGAGCCGTATGCTGTCTCCGCCGGGTAGGTTGGTCCGGGACTCGCCCATGTGGGCTGGGACTGCCCCCAGCTGTTCGTCGGCGGCAGAGAATGCTGGCCGTATCCTGACGCTTGGGTGCGGCCAGAGACGCCGGGGCTACTGCTTTCACCGTAAGGCTCGATCCTTTCGCGCTCTTGGCCTCTCTGTCCGGCTCTAGGAGGTGTTGCGTCCGTAGTTCTGAATAAAATCTGTCCATTGCGGCCATAAAGGATGTCTCTATCCTATGGGCCTGCTTAGACATGAGATCTTCCACCACGGCTTGCTCTTGTATGGACTCGGCCGTGCGATCCGTCGTCACTGGGACGCTTGCCGAGATTCTGACCGCGTGTTCAGTCTTGGTGACAGTGATTGGTGAGGTGGACTCAGGAGTCTCAGAAGTCATTTCGACCGCTCTGTTTTTTAGCTTTGCCTGTGCCCTAGTTTCCACCATGACTTTTTGACAGGGTCCCATCGGGCTTGCCAAAAGTGTTTGCTGCGCCAATCTCATGGCCTGGAGCTCTGGGCCGAGGGGATGTGCGTTAACATGTGGCTTCCTTCTTTTGGATGCGGTGCGGTTGTGCGCGGGCATGCCAGCACGGTCTACCGTGTGTCGAGATGGTGATGTGGATGAAAATGGTTAAGTGGTGTGCCTGTTTGGGTTCGACTCCTAATCGAACAATTGTGGCCGAGAGAGGAACTGATCTCGGCCGTCAGGTTCACAGCCTGAGCTACAAGGCCGTTTAATGGTGGTGTTGATGGTGGATTTTGGGCGTTGCTCCGGCGCGTTGCTCAGGGAGCGACGGTCGTATGATATTTGGGATGAATAAAGGAGTAACAAAGATGATGCTCCGGCGCCTTGAAAATCAAGGGTCGTATGATATATTGATGAACGGATTTTCCTTACAAACTACCACTACTCCGAGGAAAGCAAGTAAAGATATTGAAAGTGCATTATAGGAAAATATAATTTGCTCCGTGGGAGGCTTTGGTTTGGTGTTTGAACCCTTTGAATGTAACTTGAACTTGGTATTTATAGGAGGAGCGCTTGGAGGAGTAATCGAGGCTGAAAATCTGCATGGTGGAGCCTGATCAAAGCAAGTGGGTAGTCCAATCGACATTTGGGATCGTGAAGCATGGTGGTGTGACCCCATGAATCCTGGGAAATCTCGGCCGCCGCCCTGATCGTGGGTTCTGCGCTTCTGGCCGTGGGGACGCATTTAATGCCCTTGTTTGGTGGTTGGTGATCTGACCTCAATTTGTAAGAATGTTTGTAAGTATGTTGGCGCCTAACCACTCTGATTTCTGTCACCAAATCCTGACTTGAGTCACTTCCCTTCTTCCCTTGTGCATTAAATGCCCTTTTATGGCTAGTGGGTTTGCTAGTCAGAGGCGTTACTTCATTAAATAAAGCGTGGGATCCTCCTGCCATGTGACGATTTTGACTCTTAATATCTTCGTGTCCCCTTCATCCCTCGACCTCGGCCTGTCGATACCGTGTTTGCAAGGCCGAGATGACTATGCCTTCGCAACTTTTCCTTTGTTTTGAGGAAGGCAAAAGTGCTGCGTTTTGGATTGCAACAGGTGCTGAGGCTGAGGGGGAAGACCCCTTTGGTCAGTGTATGACCGTGACTTATCAGGCACAAACAGGCTATTGCATTTTCTTAGGCTCCAATCTTATTTCATGGATCTCAAAGAAGCAGAAGATTGTTTCCAGATCAAGCACGAAAGCTGAATATCGTCAGCTTACATATACAGCCGCAGAAATATCATGGTTGCGTGCTTTGTTTTGCGATTTGTCTCTTTCGTTGCCACCACCAATTCTCTGGTGTGACAATGATGCTTCCATCTCATTGGCGTCCAATCCGGTTTTTCATTCCCGAACGGAACATTTGGAGTTTGATTATCATTATGTTAGGGAAAAAGTTGTGCGGGGTGAGCTGGTTGTAAACTATGTTTGTTCTCAAGACCAGACTGCGGATTTATTTACCAAAGGTCTTAGTTCGTCTCGTTTTCGTACACTGGTTCTCAAGCTGCCTGTTTTTCAACGTCCACTCAGCTTGCGGGGGGATGTTAGACCAAGTCCAAGTCATGAGCAGATTGTTATTGATAAGTCAGTTGTGGATTTGAATTTGAATAGTTGATATGATGATAATGTTATTTTGATATGTTGATAATGTTATTTTGTAACTGAGCTGATCCCTTGTTTATTGGAACAGCTCTTGTATTTTGAAGTGTAAGTTATCAATATAGTAATATAAATACATGCTTACACCAGAGTTACTGGTGTGGCCTTTTCTCCCATTTCCTAAGTCTTTTAAGTCGATGGGTTGCTATCGAATATTATTTGTTGAAGTCTTAGCATCTCCTCTAGATTATAATTTTTTGAGTTGAATGCTTCAAGTTCGTAATGGGTGTGAGCCATAGGTTTGACTTCAATGCTTTTTGGTTATTGGTCTTTTGTTTGCTTGCAATCTTTAGCTTCAATGAGGGGTAGTCAGCTTTTTTTTTTTCTAGGAGTTTTGTTTTCTTAGGGCTGAAAAGGGGGGATGGGTGCGGTTTAGGGTTGGGTCGGGAAAAGAAAAGATAGTAGAGAGAGCAGAGACAAGAGAGAGAATAGATTGGCATTTAGAGAGAATGAGACTAAGAGAGTTTGAGGCAGTGACGAGGAGGGATGGGGAGGTGTTACGTTGGGGTGTCTCAAGAAAAAATTGGTAAGTCAAAAAAGTTTTGTCGTTAGGAAGTTTCTTTTTCAGAGTTCAAACATGTGAAATTGAGCCTAATGTATTTTATTTCTTAATTTTATTCAACTAGGTTAATTGGCTTAGACTATGAATTTATAATGAATAGGTGTGCCTTTTTCCGAGCACATCTCTTCTTAATTTGGATTGAAAAATTAGCCCCTACAGAGTTTTTATATGATTTTTGGTTTATAGTGGCATACTAGCTAGTGTTGTAAATCCATGTTTTACATGGATAAGTGGATGTCACCATCATGCCTAATACCTAATAAGAGCACCTCCACCCCAAAGGGCAAGGGCAAAGCAAAGGTAAGGCAAGGTTTGACACAATTCACGTGAATAGTGGCAGCCTTGCCTTTTTTGGTTCCACCCCCAAAGAGCAAGGGCAAGGACAAACACTATTCACTTTAATTTATGTTCTATTTTTTATACTTAAACCATTAATTTCGATAAGCTTTATAGATAATATTTTCGGTTGCCACATGTCACTATTTATTATAACATTCTCACCTAAAATTTCGGATAACATTTTCGGATAAAATTTTCAAATTAAATTTTCGGATAAGATTTTTGGTTGCCACGTGTCCATCAAATTTCAGATAAGATTTTTGGATGAGATTCTCAGTTGCCACATGTCTTATTTCAGATAAGATTTTCGGATATATAATAAAAAATTCTAATCTCATATTCCAGATAAGATTTTCACCCTCTAAAATTGCGCCACGTGTCCCATGTCAAATAAGATTTTCGAATATTTATTAAAAAATTATAATTTCATATTTTAGATAAGATTTTCACCATCTAAAATTGCGCCACATGTCATCTTTATCTTCTAAATCCCTCTATAAAACTACACCCACAACTCATACCTCTCACACCATATCTTCTCTATTCTTTCATTTCTCAGATTTTACAAAACACATTTCAATGTCTAACCTGAGGAGGGTGTTGGAGAGGCAAGGGAGAGAAGAGGAAAAAATCAGGCGCAGACGTGCCGAAGAAGATCATGAGGCCAATGAAGAGGAGGAAGAAATGGTTGTAGCGGTGTGTATGCTCAATGAATCAAGGCAACACCACCATCGTCGTGCCACGAATGTGGACAGATATAGGCACTCTCGGGGTAAGAATCTCTTGGAAGATTACTTTATTCCAAATTCGTTATATCATGTTTCTCATTTTCGAGAGAGATATAGAATGCAGCCTCATTTGTTCCAAAAAATCATGCATGATATTTGCAATTATGACACATTCTTCGTTCAAAAGTATGATGCTGTTAGGGTTTTGGGTCTTTTTCCGAAGCAAAAACTTACAACTGCTTTGCGGATGCTTGTGTATGGGGCATCTGCAGAGCAAGTGGATGAGATTGCTAGGATGGGGAAATCAACTATCCTAGAGTGCTTGGTCAGATTCTCTAATGTAATAGAAAAGCTCTACACGAGGAAGTACCTCCGCAAACCTACGGCTAGAGACCTCCCAAGGCTTGTACAAAAAGCCTAGGCTCGACGTTTCCCAAGCATGATTGGAAGCGTCGACTGCATGCACTAGGAACAGAAAGGGCCAAAAAAGTATAATTCTGGAGGCTGTAGCTTCATTCAACACTTGGGTTTGGCATGCCTTCTTTGGAGTTGCCGGATCTCATAATGACCTTAATGTGCATAGCCAATCCCCAGTATTCAATGATGTCTTGAGAGTTCAGTCCCTCGAGATCACATATCAAATCAACAATACCGTATACTCGAGTGCGTACTACCTCGCCCACAGAATTTATCTGAGGTGGACTACATTCGTGAAAACAATTTCGAATCCCCAATCCGAGAAGGAAAAAAGCTTTGCTGCCTTTCAAGAAGGTTATAGGAAAGACATGGAAATGTGTTTTGGTATCTTACAAGCTCGTTGGGAAATTATTAGGGGTGCTGCTCAGATGCTTCATGAGGAGATGTTGCGGAGCATTTTGATGACTTGCATCATCCTCCATAAAATGATTGTGGAGGATGAGTATGATTATGATGCTCCAGAGGTGTTCGAACCTGATCCCATGAACACATCATTGACAAGAATTTATGAAAGGCCGATGGGAGCAAATGGACACCCAACGGAGCATGAACTATTAATTTGGGATGGTCGATACAACAACCCCATGATTAACCGTTATTAGGAAATGCAATCTTCGTACGTTCACGAGAGATGTCAAGTTGACTTGATCGAGCACTTATGGGAGATGAAAGGCAATCATAGTGGATGAAGTCAAGTTTGATGCTGTGTTTGAAATTATGCTTTATTTGGAATTATGCTTTGTTTTGTGTGTGGTTTGTAATAAATTAAGGTTTGTTTTTAATTATGCTTTGTTTTTATGTATGAAATGTTTTTAAAAAATAACTATATTATTTAATGCTTTCTTTATTGAATAAAAGGGAAACAATACAACAAATTAATACATATGGCAACTCTTTCAATACAACCTAATGGTTTGGATCATTTAACCAATCCATGTTGCTAGGTCCATTGTCATGGAAAAGCTTTCTTCTCACAACATCCCTTCTTTTTAGCTTCCAATAGGACTTTGTTTCACGGGAGATATGACTTGTATCCATGGCCATGATTTTCATCTCTTTGTCCTCCATGTCTTGTTCTTGTGCCTGCTACCTTTGAATTGCAAACGCTTCATGTCGTGCCTTGTCTGCTTCTTCTTTTCCCAAATCTCTCTCAATTCTCAGTGCGCCATTCCTAGGAATTTGCTCCAAAAATTATGCACATTCATTGTTAGAACTGCTCCCTCTCTTGGCCTTTGCCGTCTTTCTCCCAATAGGTCTTGGCTCACGTTAGATTGGTGAGTCTTAATCCATTGGGGAGTCCAATGGCGAATTGGTTGCCGATGAATCGTGGAGCAGCACAACCGTCGGACCAGTGGAAATAATTTTGTAGTGGCAACCTTGCCTTAGTTGGCTCCACCCTTGGAAGGCTAGGGCAAGGGCAAATACTATTCATTGTACTTTATTTTCTATTTTTTTTATACTTTAAACCATTAATTTTGATAAGCTTTTTATATAATATTTTCGGTTGCCACGTGTCACTATGTATTATAAATTTATCACCTAAAATTTCAGATTAAATTTTTGAATTAAATTTTCGGATAAGATTTTAATTATGGTTTATTTTGTGTGTTGTTTGCAATAAATGAAGGTTTGTTTTTAATTAATCTTTGTTGTGATGTGCAAATATTTTTAATAAATAGTCATATTATTTAATGCTTTCTTTATTGGAAAGTAGTAGAAAAATGTGAGTGGAAAGTAAAAAATATTGGAAGGAAAAGAGTTTGTATGAAGATTTGGTGTGGAAAGTGAATAAAATTGTTAGGTATTTATAGGGAAAAAATCCAGAATTTGTTGGTATTTTGTAGAAAAAATTTCGATTATTTTTGCAATTTTTTAAGCCAAAAAGATCACAGCCGTCGGATTTCTGAAAAAAATCAATCAAAACATTTGGGAAGCACCACATGGCTTCTTCCCGTTGGAGGCTGTCAACGCTAGTGTCAGCCGTGACGTCACGCTAACGTCAACGGCTAAAATCAAATTTTTTTAATTGTTGGCGCGTGAAATTCAAGCGCCAACAGTTAAAACAAATTTGATTTCGCTTGCTGATGTCAGCACCTTCGGGCAAAAGCCCAGTCTAGATTTGCCCGTGGGCTTGCCCAGGCTGTTGGGTCCCACGCCTTGCCCGGGCTGAGTTTTGCGCACTGAAGATGGAAATCGGGCCTGGGTAGCCTTTTGCCCAGGCCAGGCTTGGCGTTGGAGGTGCCCTAAATGACTCACCCCACCATGTATCACCAATAATGTATATGACCACTCTATCAAATATGTGACTCACAAATGGTGTATATATATATATATTTTTTGAAATAGTAAGGTTTCATTCAACTGTCAAAAGGTTACAGATTCGAGCGAACAAACATGGCCTCATCAAAACCTTGCCTCAAAAAAACCCAGTGGGAAAAATTTGAGATGAAGGAAAAAGAGTGCCACACACTCCATACAGGCTACAAACTTAACTCAAAACTAAACCAAAATAACAACGTCAACTAGCAGAGACACATTGGTCTTGCAGGTCCCTCTTCTAGCCAAGCATCTGAAGACACACTACCTAGAGCAAACTTAGCATGGCTATAATAAGACACAAACTGGGAACAAGGACAATAAGAAAATTCAACTCGATCATATGCCATACATTCATCAAGCATCACAACAACCTTTGTCTCCTTGTTTCGTCAATGTTTGTTGCCTGAATGCATGGGCTCAAAAGTAAGAGATTATCAGGAAAGGACCGGACAGGAGCAAAGGCATTTTGAACACTAGAAATCATCTCAAGCAAAATGATCATCAAGATGTTAACTAGAGTCTTTGCACAAAAATGGGGTCTTGAACTCAAAGGAATTGTCTTAGAGCATGGAATATGTAGGGGTTCCCAAGCCCCAGCACATTCCATTCCATTTGTCTCATTGAAATTGACGAGGTAGCCCTGCTAACCCCATCTCTGTATCAATCTCCAATTGAACAATGTTCAGTACCGATTGCTACGGGTTCTCATCACCCTTTTGGGCCTTAGACACCGATTGGGTTGCTCGAGCCTTAGCCTTCCACGATAGACGTCGACGCCCACATTGATTTGGGTTGACAGTTTGAGTTGCCCCATTAACTTGCTTCCCTTGCAGACCCGATTATTGAGGGAGAGAAAACGCTTTTAACCCCCTTGGATGTCCACCGTGCATGAATATGCTTCATTAAAAACCTTGCCAGTAAAACCCAATGGGACAAAAACGGGTCGAAGGGAAAAAGAGTACATAACCATGTGTAACATAAAATTTTGTGTATATAAAATCGACACACATGCAACACTGCCTCGTTAAAAACTTGCCAGGAAAAACCCAGTAAGATAAAAAACTGGATGAAGGAAAAAGAGTACAGTGTGTGAAGATCTTTATTGACAACATGCTCCCCCTGATGATTGGCAAAATATCTTTAAGCCGTACTGTTGACCATCTTTCTGAATGTCTTAGTTGGCATTGATTCTGTGAATCGATCTTGCAATATTATTGGATGCTCCCCCAGAAAAATTACTCCCCATGATGTATCCATACTTCTATGATGATCCAACATAAATGATATTGATATCACATTTGTACTTCAAGGAGTGATCTTTGATAGTGCTTGTATAAAACTTGTTGTCGCGACATCAGCATCATTGGAAGATGTATATGTGTCTTCATTTATTTAATTCCTGTTGAGGTTAGAATAATACAGAAAAGTATATAGGCTACTTTCGTAAGCCTTTTACTTCATATAATGACTTGATTTTCATATGCATTAAAATAATAATAATGACCTCGTATTTATAATGATAAGAGCATTAAATATTTATCTGGTATAATAAGTCATTCGTACATATCACTGTATGTTTTGAGAATATTGCATATGTTATTCCATCCATATCCTTGTATGTTTTGAGAATAATTGCATATGCTATTCCACCGGTTCTTCAGGAGTCTGAATATTTCTCATAACTTGAAACATTTGAATACGTTGCAACATCTTTAAATTTAAATTCAATCAAAGTATTCTCTAAGGCAATTTATACATATTAATACTGAGTACAAAATTTGTGCTTCAAGCACATGTCCGTCAAAGACTTACTTCATGCAATTTTAATCCTTCAGGGATTTTATTTAAGGGATTACACTTCATAACACACTATATAGTTTTATACTCAGCTATTTATTTCTCTTATACATCTTTAGAGAATTGCTTCTGGCGATATGCTTCCATGCATTTAATGACCCTTAAAGATAGCATGTTGGTCTCCATAAATGTGCACAATAAGAAGGCACAATTGCATGTATAAATATGGAGAACCTCAACATTCCTTGTTTTTACCAAAAATATTTGTGTCATATAAAGTGAGTGTATTCCTCTTTATCTTGAACACCTATGTATAACCTGTAGGGTTAACATCTTTTTAGGGTTCATACTATGGGTTTGTTCTTTCACATTCATTCTCAATTATAATGGAATTGCCTCACTACTACAAAAAATGAAATAGACGACGGGGATCCACCGTCGTTGTAATGCTTTGAAAACCGTCGTTAAATCAACCGCCATCTTTTTGGGTGTCAAACTACAACGGCTTTTCACCGTCGTTGTTTATCTGTAAAGACGACGGTTTTTAATAAAACCGTCGTGGATTGTAGGTTAAGATGATGGTTTTTTATGAAAACCGTCGTGGATTGTAGGTTAAGACGACAATTGTTTTATAAAAACCGTCGTTAATTATCTATACAGCCAATGGTTGGTTTATAAAAACCGTCGTTAATTATCTGTAAAGACCATGATTTATTATGAAAACGGTCGTCTAATAAGTTCCCAAACTGCTACATTTTAGTTCTTTTTGATTTCATATGATGCTATACAACGATTTTAACTAGAAAACCAACCATAATGCTTTATTAA